AGTTCACTCAGCCTTTCTTCATAGGAGAGATGCTCCAGTCCCTTCACCATCTTCGTGGCCCAAGTTCATATCATAAATATCCCTCTCAGCTCTTTGGCTCCTGCCTACATGTCAGATTAAATTGGGGTGAAGAAGCAATTAGTGCCATGAGATCTGAGTTCAGAATTTTATGCCATAGTGAGCTCAACTGTGGATTCAATTGTGGAAAACAGGCTAAGTGTTTTGAGTGTTATTATCACCTAATTACACCTACCTAATTACACCTTAATTAGGATGAGAAGCCAAGGGATCGGTATTCCCAGTAAGAAGAGCCTTCTGTCCAAAGGAGTTGAAGGCTCTGGAAGGTATTATATAGAAAAAAAACATTGATTTCATTCTACTTAAATTTTCATAGCTCTTTTCTATTTTTTTTGTGCATGTGTAGCCTAAAGATACTCACTTATACACTTATGGTGGTTCATAGACACTCTAAGTATGGACTACATTTTTACTTCACTGGTATTTTTTATTATGTTTTGTTTGTTTTCAAAAAGTGATTTTGTCATGGGAATGTGTTCACAGAATAACATTTCAAAAATTTTTCAGATTAAACCCAAAAAATGAGGAGGCATGGATCACATTGCCTCCACTTATTTTCCAGAGAAGATTATAGTAAAATCTATGGCTTTGACCTATTCACTGTTTTCAATTTGTTGTGTTAGCCATTTACAGTATCCTTCATTTGTAATCTTGGTAGTTTTGTGAGGAGGATGTGAAACAGTCAGTGCATCAATACATGTAATAATGAGAATGTCAAAAATGCTGATGCTAGCGAACAGGAAGATATCCTTTTTAGAAACCTGGTCACCTCCAACTGTGCTTGCAATCTGAAAAGTGTTATTAGGACTTTTTACACTTACTGTATATCTGTTTTTTCTAATCTGATTTATTCAGTTTATTTTCTTAAGAAGTTGACTTTTTTTTTTTTCTAATATCACTATGAGATTTAATTATGCTATTTCAAATATTGATATTGTTAAGAATAAAATTACTGTATACAGAAGTTACAGCTTTATCTACTACTACTGAGACCAGTAACTTTTATGATATTTGAACATTTCCCTAGTCTCAGCTTAATACATACTTATGCAACGATTTCCCTAGGACTGCCTAAGCACTTAAGACACAATATGTGTATGCACTGCATATTTCAAAATTGTCCCTCGGTTCACAATTATTTTAATCATATGCAAGGCAGGATGAACTTCTTTGTACCTTTTTATATCCCACTTTGCAAAGTTTCATGGGAAGATAATAAATCATATTGTAAAGATAAGCAGATATGATGACTAAAAAGACACAAAGTTTACACATCTGTTGGATAAAGAACTTCCATGTTTATATAATAACTTTCCAAAGAGGAAATGTGCTTTAATCATTCATGTTTTTTGTTTCTTTGCCTGATGTTCCCAGAAGCAAATTCTTCTGGGCATCACATTAAAGCTTTGAGAGATCCTAGTCAGTGATGTTGCACTATCATTTCCAGCCGTACTTTGCCTTTCTTTGCTGAGATAGCGAACAAATCAAACTGTAGTGTCTAAATTCTCATGAGAAAGAGCGCAGTGAGAGCCAAATGTGATTCCAATATAAGACTGAATAGAAGCTACTAACATAAACATAATGTGGTTACAGATGTACAACTGTGACTTTGAAGGTTTTTCTGGATACTTTCTATTGGATTGTTCTGTCACCATGCTGACGTACTTAATCCAGGATCCTGCTATTAAATTAAAACAAAGTTACATGAGATTCTACTAAAGAGGTTTTTGTAAGCATAATTACAGGAAATTGCAAGAAGTGTGATTCAGTTAATTGTACTGAATTGGTTGCAATGCTAAATGCTAAGAACTTTAGGTAGAATTAATAATTCTTTTTTTTCCCCAGAAAGCTTAGAGTTCTCCAGCAAACTGTGTTGAAGAATCTTTAACATACTTAATAACAAGGGATTACAATGATAAAAGCCCTTTGCACATTTGCTCACTCTGGTTCATTTTATCTTTTTCAGCTGCTCTCTCACTGTTATGCATTAGACATATATTTTGAAAAGATCTGTGCCAGAATATGTTTGTGATGATATAAAAGCTGCAACCTTCTTAGTACCTCTTCATAGGAAGTTTGCCTTTAATTATTTCCATCTTCAGTTTGTGAACCTTCAGTTTTCAATTGTAAGCAGAATTATTTCCATAAGTGCATTCCAATATGCTGTCCTGTATGAATTACATATCCCCGTAACAGGCATTGGCGTCTTAACAGAATTTTGATACTTCTGTTTTTGAGGATTTTACTTCATAGCAGAACCTCAATTTATTATCTAGAACAAGGGATTTAGAGTGAAGATAGAAAAGACATGGTAGATATTTTAATATCAGCTACATACTGCCAGTTTACATTGTGAAGGAACCCACACTAATTCTCATGCAAAAAAATTTGCATGTTAGATTAACCCAAGATTTTTGTTACATGATGCAATGCTCTCTTTTCTTCAGCTGTGCAATGTTCACTCTTCCCCCCCCCCCCTTTTTTTTTTATTCTTCAAATCACTTTCATTCTAGTCTTTGACTGTTTTTAATAAAACAGCTTTCTTTTCTATCTCCCAATGAAAATGGCAAAGAAGAAAAAAACCTTATTCTTACAAAACCAGCCTCTAAACCTTCTCTCTTAAAATTTTAATCCTTGATGTCAAAATGCTACTCTGTTGTGGTTGCTCTAGTAGACTGGGATTAAAATATACTGAGTATTTTACACATGTAGATGGCATTTTATTACTCCAGACCTTGTTACTTAATGTCTATCATATACTGAGTTGTAATTATCAGGTAGGCCTCATGCTTGGAAAAAAATATTCGTAAATTAGAACAGATTAAAGAACAGGTATAAAAATTACAACTCTCTGCTATTCATCCAAACTCCTTCTCTGGTCTGTCTGATTTGGTGAGAATTTTATGGAGCCTGTTACAAAGGATATGTCTAAATGTAGAGAGAAGAGAACTTGCTAAATGAGAGTGTGGAAGAGAAGAAGAGATTGTGAGGAAAATGCAGAGCATTGAAAATCATGGGGCTTATCACAGTCTAACATCTTTCTGAGAAAATGTCATTGATTTTATTCTTGATTTTTTTTTTTTTTTATTACGCCAACATTCCAGTACAGTAAACATTCTTCAATTTATGAATAATTTTATGATAGCTATTCACTCAGTGCTCTGATATTTAACCTGTTAGTTAAAAAATGACATGGTGAAAGTAAGTAGAGAATGCTTACATATGTACCAAGTCTTCCTGGTTTCAACTGGGGTGGACCCGATTTCTCCTTCATACCATCTGTTATGATGTTACGTTTAGGATCTTTACTATCTACTTTAGGATAAAAACAACGTTGAAAACACACCAATGTGAAGCTGGGAAGGGATGGAACCAGGACAGCTGACCTAAAGTGGCAAAAGAAATGTTCAATGCAATTTGACATCTTGTGGAAAAAGCTTGAAATTGGTGGGAAGTTCATTGGGCAGGCTGCTGCTGCTTGGGGGCCAGCTGGGCATCAGTTAGTGAGTGGTGAGCATCACTTGTTTTGTATATATATATAATTATTATTATAACTATTATCCTTTCCTTCTCTTCCTTTTTCTGTTTTAGTAAATAGTTTTTATCTCAACCCATGAATTCTACTTTGTTTTTTTTCCTCATTCGCTCCTCCATCCAAGGGAGTAGGGGAAGTGATTGACTGTAGTACTTAGCTACCTGCTGGGTTAAACCACAAGACAAGTTCAGTTTGCAACTGTATCCAAAGGCTTTGGGAGTAGTAGGAGAAGGGTGACTTACATATAATGTCCAGGAATTTTAGAGACTGGTAGATTATAGGCAAACCTCAAATTAAGCTATCAGACAGTCTTATTGGCTTGTACATGAACTGATGATCTTAAGTTCATTGAGTTAAAAGGAATACAACATCCTGTTTCCAGACATGAAGCAAACTCTGTAACTTTCTTCGCTTTTGGATTTGGATCAGTAAATTTTACTGTGACAAATTGGATTTTAGACAGCAACAATCAAATTACAATAGCAGTAGCACTCCTAACACCCAAGGGTTTACCCTTGGTAATACACAAGGTATACTCTGATTACTCACATACTTATGAAGGTTTCTTGGACTCAGGAATTAATAATACTCCTTAACAGTTTTCAAAGCAACAATCTGGCTCAGCACAGCTTGTACTTTCACCGCTTCTATGTCCTAGGTACTCATCCCCAGCAGAAACACCCTCCTTAACAAGACTGAACATTTCAGCATGTACATGACAAACTGCCATACTAAAGTGCCAGACAGTTTTCTAGAGAATGAAGTAGTCATGGTCTCCTGGTGTTGCAATCAGAAAGATCAACACAGTGAAAGGGCAATACAGGAGTATAACAGCAAAGAGACTAGTGTGGATAGAATGGTATCACAAAGGAAAAGTGCTCATCTGTCTCCAAAGATTCAGCTTGCAGGAGAGACTACACAAGCAAGGGATCTCCAACCAGAGATCATTTCTCAGTGTCAGTCAACCATTAAATGAGGTTTAAGAGAGGTGCAGCCAGGCTCCACCTGTGCTCCCAGGGCTGACTGGATCCTTTCCCCAGGTGCTCTGGTTCAGGCCATGACTCAACAGTTACCATACACCTGGTAATCTTCAACATGGTGTTTCCCAAGTCTTGTTTGAACTGCTGAAGGGGTGACAAAGAAGTTTGAACCTAACTTCTTGTAAAACTGGGGACATAAAAGCATTGCATCATCTCTGGCACATTGAGATACATGGATAATGAGTTCACAGGACATGCATATATCTTAGTACTCTCAGAATTGCCTTCAGTACCACTGGCAAGTCTGATAGAGAAGTTTTGCAAAGACTTCCAACATTTTCTTCTGCCTAGAAAAGTAACCCTAAGACAACGGCAGTGTCTAATTGCTCTTGTGCTGATTCATGTCCTTCAATGTTGATTGCAAGCCATACAGGTAAGACCAAGAGCTGAGATCCCCCTGTGATATAGCAAATCACTTCTGCTTCTCCTGGGTTCAAGGCTATCTTCTTTCCAGCTTTCTTCTAGTCTAGGTCATTTTCAACAGAGATGTCAACAGTCACGTTAAACTGTGGAGCAATGCTGTGATAGGTAGTATTAGGAAATCATGAAGATACTACTGCAGTAATTTCCATCTGTGACCTGAGGTGAGATTTATATGCATGCAGTTCAAACAAAGAACATCCTTTACAGGACCCAGTGGGAAGTTGTGTTCTTGAGGTAATAGCTTTGCAAAAGTTTCATCTAGGATTTTAAGAAATGAATAGCTGACTGATTACAGATCTCTGTTACCACAGAGAGTCTTAAGAAATGGGAGGCTTGTAATTCAATTTTTAGATGGAAAATTTTTAAGATAACAAGAGAAAAGAACTGAAGTAAATGAGAACTAGAAAATATAATAGAAAAGAGGAATGCAAGACACTTCTTTGACAAAAGCTTTGAGAAATATACTGTTGAATGGATAAGATGAATAGACTGAGATTCAGTCTGTCACGTGTCTCTTTGTAGAAAGAACAGTTTTATGGGGAAAAAAAGTTTGTTTGAAATCTTTAACCTCAGGTGATATTTGCAAACAGTTCATTTCAGATCCTTTAAATCCATGTAAATTAGATACAACAGAACTGTTTGCTAAAGATCAGTGAGAAAATCTTTGCATTATTTACTATCCAGATGGAAAACGGAGCTCAGAACAGAGCTTTCTACTCCTGATTTTTTTTCTTAAGAGCTCACAGATGAAGAAAATAGTATAAAGCACCAAACAGAGATGTGCCAGTTTACTAACAGCAAGTGGCTCTCAGTTTTTGCATCTCACACAACTGCTCTTAAAACAAATATTTTTGATGAGAAGCCTGTTTTTCATTGCATAAAGGACCAAGACTTATATTCTTTGTTCAGTGAAGTCTTGTGACCTTTAGTTATTAGATCAGACAGACAATTTCTGTATTTTACCTATGTAAGGGTGATACTAAATTCAAGTAATTCCATTATGCACAAATAATTTGTGAAATGTATAGCCTTTCACAGAAATTGTAACATAGTGGAAACTTCTGTTTATTTGTTAGGACATACACATCTAATGGGACTTTTTGACCTGCTCCAGAACAACATATGGAAACCTTCACTGAAAACCAACAGCCAAGACTGCATCAATAAAAGGTATCTCATTAGGTATTACTGAAAATATTGTATCTTAAAATAGTACAATTCTCTTCTGAAACACAACTGTATATCTTTTATTTTGTTACAGAATACATGTCTTTGTTATAGAAGTCCAGGAACTACAACAGTGGAAGAAGTAAATGCATAAAAATCAGGAGCATTAATCATACTAATAGAAAAGAGGCAGACTTCCCTTTCAATACAAGAATAATTTATTGCTCTCGTGATAGTATATTCTTTCATTATCATTTTGATTATTGTAAGACTGACTTCTCTTATAACTGGTGGTGACTCCAATGCTTGCAATTTGTGCTGAAAAAAAAAAAAAATACTATATTCATCATACTTGAACTGAACCTAATCCAAAGTCAACAAAGTTGTTGCTTCTGCATTTACAGAATTGAGGGTCAGTGGATATTTCCATCATATCCTTTATTTTTAAAGGTCTTAACTTGGATTTTGCTTTATATTGTATTTATTTTAGGCTTTCTATACTTAATATATTAACTGCACGAAAACCATATGTGTATGCAAAACCAAATATACAAGCCAAAGAAAAATCTTTTCCCAACTTTAAAATGCATGTTTTTTTTTTCAGTGCTTGGAAAGGCATAGCCTCCTCCCATGAAGAACAGTCCAAAATAGACTTTGTCCAAAGATAACAGCTTGTGGTCCCAGAACTGGCTCCAGGAAAACAGGTAATTTTGTCAGAACTTCAGGAAAGTAATAGTGACTGGAGGATTAAAAATCAAATGTAAATATATGTGTTTCTACTCATGCCCTCAAAAACAAACTCAGATACATGGATTATATCAGCCTGAGTTACATGTATGCCAAAGTCAGAATTTTCTTACACGCAATATTAAAAGCACTGGAGTTATCTAAATAATAATCTTCACTCATATACTGTAATCTTCCATCATTCCCCACAAACTACCTCATTCCTTAACTCATGCCCAAGTATATCAGCACAGAGACAGATTGAGAAGTTGAAACCAGCCTAGCAATCCAAATTTTAACAATCCAAATATTAAAAGGAAGCATCTTTTAGCTAAAATTTGAAATATGTTGGTATGTCGATTGAATATAAAAAAAATGCCATGTCAGCACTGCTGTAGAACCAATACAAAATTACAGACTATCAGCAATGTCTGAGGAGAAATAAATCAAAACTCTCCTCAAGGGTAGGGTCTATCCTGGCAAAGGATGTCTAAATTGCTGTTGGTACACTTTTATACCATGACCATTTACTTGCCAATCTTTTCTGAGGTAATATTATGAACTCTTTTTTTTTTTTTTCTTTTTTTTTTTTCTTCTATTGATCCAACTGATGTAGTTAGATAAAAGATTTCTATACTATTTTAGAAGATAGGTAGATGGTATATGCAATCAAACTGAGTTGAGGGCTAGAGAGGACTCCTCAAACTGAGAAGAGGGCTGGAGTACCTCTGCTATGAAGAAAGGTTGAGGGAACTGAGCTTGCTTAGTGTGGAAAAGACAAGACTCTGGGGACACCTCACTGTGGCCTTCCAATACTTGAAAGGAACATATAAATAGGAGGGGGAACGGCTGTTTACAAGGATTGATAGTGATAGGACAAGGGGGAATGGTTTTAAATTGAGACAGGGGAGGTTTAGGTTATATAATAGGAAGAAGTTTTTCACACAGAGGGTGGTGACACCCTGGAACAGGTTGCCCAAGGAGGTTGTGGATGCCCCATCCCTGGAGGCATTGAAGGCCAGGCTGGATGTGGCTCTGGGCAGCCTGGTCTGGTGGTTGGCGACCCTGCAGATAGCAGGGGGGTTGAAACTCAATGATCATTGTGGTCCTTTTCAACCCAGGCCACTTTATGATTCTGTGATTCTGTGAAAAAAACTTTCCTATGAGATAATAACTAAGAAGTGTTTATATTGCTGCTTCACTGCTCCTCATACAAATTTTCTGAATTCATGCCTAGATTGTCTCTGCAGAAGTTTTTAAGATTGCATTAGGAGCAGGAGAATGTGCTATTCATCAGATAATCTGTCCCTTAACATTTACATTTTTTTCCCTTCCTTTTTATTTTCTGGAAAAAAAAAAAAAAAAAGAAACCCTAATTTTATTCATAACATACCATACTCAATTACTTAATTTTATGCAGGGCTTGCTACATTTCCTTATTTTGCAAGTATTACAACACTTCAATAATTGCCGGCAGTTCTCTGCTCATCAGTACTGATTAAAAGGGATGACATCCACTTCTAAACATGCTAGTCCTATCTGTCCAGTAAAAGCAACAGTTGATAAAGTCTGTGAATGAATCCTTTCCCCCTCTGATTGGTCCAACCCAGAAGAGGAATCCAGAGGCAAATGTGCCCGATCTGTGAAGGCAGTGGGTGAGAGCACCAGCCCCTGCTAAAGCAGGTGGATATATGGTAGGAGAGCTGGTGGGCTTGGTGTTGTGTATAGGCCTATATACAGTGAGATACCATTTATGTGAGTTCCCAAAAGGCTATGAGCTGGCTGGAGTACGAATCCATGCTGACCCTGGCTATGCAAGTCTGACCTGTAACACAGATTTTACTACTCTCTAAAAGCAGCACAGCACCAATCTGGTGGGAATTTTGCCTGGCATGGGAAGTAGGAGGTCCCATCCTTGCTTGATGCAATGGAGACATGGAGGTTAAGCAGTGAGATTGAGGAGTGATGTCCAAGGGGTGAATTGTTCCCCTGATTTCAGAGGAATGGTGACACCTCTTGTCTGAAACGCCACAGAGAGACCTTGACAAAGTAAGCAAAAGGCAGGCAGGAGGCATGAAATGCTAGCAGAACAAGTCCATAGCCCAAGTGAGCATCTCAGCATTTGCTGCAGCAGTGCGAATTGTCCATTGACAGCACTGAGCTGGAGATCTGTAATGATGATTAAGAATACCTACTGAATCACTGTCATTTTGATTGCCATGCTACTGGTGGTTGTATATGCAGAGATACACCACAGGATATTTTTAAGTCTAAAGCCTGAATTATTATCTTGGTCAGAACAACATGAATATTTTCTAATCCCTTAATTTTGTGCCAGAAGAATACTGGGGTTCATGTTCCCCCCCATGGACCTTCTTTTCTTTGAGTTAGATGAAGGAAAAGAAGCCAAGCCAGTTCCACTGAGGCTCTGAGTTTTTGAATGAAAATAATGGAGATTCATCAAAATAAATAGGAAAACAACATTTGAAAAAAATTCCATGAAATAAGAGAATAATATTTAAAAGTGTAGGGACAGGAAATTACTTGTGAGAAATGCAAAACACTGAGTGATTTCTTTATTAAACGTATGTTGCCAATTTAGTGTTTAAAGCTGCTCAATGGCTGGTATAGAAACTTCTTGTGAAATATATTAGGGGTTTAGAGTCACTTAGTGGTTAGTAAAATACCCTCCTAATGAAACAATGTATTAATTGCTCAGGGCCTCTCAAAGCAAACACATATAAAATATTTAAATGTCTGGAGATGCTCAGTAGCTTGATAACCAACTTTTAATAAAGTCTATTCAGTGTTTAGAGTTGATCAGTGGCTGGGAAAACAACCCATACTCAGCAGTAGAAATGCAGGGCTAATAAAATACAGAGCTGCTCAGTGGCTGCAGCAAGCTTTCTAGAGCTGCACTAAAATTAGGGAGACTGAATTAAGCAATAACAGTAGAGTCTCAGAGTAGTTCTGTAGAATTAATGACTGGCTGAGATGAGTTGATGGCCTGTAGCTACACTCCAGGTCATTAACCCCAGCTGGTCTCCAGAAAATACCAGACATTGAAGTCATCATTACTGTTGTAAGCATTGAAATAAAAAATAAAACAAACAAAGCAAACAGCCAAAAAAACCTCAGCAGCCTTACGTGTATTATGTTTATGAATGTCTGTATTGTGTCTGTGTGCTCTAGAGAGAGACTTGCATGTTCATATTTACATGGATTTTCTCTAGAACAACTGCAATTTTTTTTAGTTAATTATAATTATCGAGAGATCTACTTCAATTTCCACTTGGTGCATGAATCAAAATCAAAGTTTTGATGCACTGCACTTTCCAATTGCTGGTGTCTGCACTCCTGAAAGGCAAGAAGGAGCATTTCAGTTGAGATATTCAGCATGGCCTCATGTAGGTTAAATGGAAGTTTCATTTGGGTACTTTCCAAGTGTCCTATAACCTGCACATACTGGTCTACTTTCCTTTTCAAGAATAGCAGAGTGGCAGCATTATTTACTGTTGTGCTTGGATTTTAAAAGGGAAATACACCCAGAAGGATAATAAAGAATTTTTCAGAGACTCTTTGGAGATTTCTGGGCTTGCTGCTGAAATGGAGTTTCCCTTGGGATGATGGCAACCCTTTCTGGAACAGCAATATTACATGGTAGTGTTTTTACAGGAGGAAGTGCAGATAAAATTTAAATGAAACAACAGGGGAAATGTAAGCAGGGCATAAATGCCTTCTGGAATTTATCCAGGGGTAACTTCCCCAATTCATTCTACAACTCATTCTGACACAGTCCAGCCATGACCATATCTACACAGTCCTGGGTTTAGCATTTGCCTTAATTTCCTCTGTTCAACAATTTAGGAGGTAGCTGCTATGCTGCATGTTCCAGAACTAAAAATCATACTTACAAACTGCTTCTAATATATACACAAAGATTTTGCAGGACTCGGATATAGCTGGTTATAGATTTGCAAATCAACAGGAGATACCATAATTGTTCACATGCTCTGAATTATACTCTGAAATATAGTTTGAAAGTGTTTACATCTCCATACCTTGTTGCCTGAAGCTAGATTGCTATAATGACCCTCAACATATCAAAGGAAGAAGTCGAGGAATTTAACACAGATTTATGTGCTCATCTTCTAGGCCCCTGACTTTGGCTGTTTTAACAATTATCTGTGCTTTGTTTTTCCACTGAATACCAGAATCATCTAATGAGGTAGAACCATGCAGATACAGTTCAGGCATTTTATCAGGTGCTTTCAGGCAGTCCTTCCTGTGACAACAAACGCTTCCCCACTTCCCAACATTAGTCCTTACCCCTCTACCACCCACCTGCTGTCTACCTAGGCTGTGTCAAGGTATGACAAGCCTAGCTTCACGGATCTTTTACTGGAATGACTGTGATGTTGATATTGATGGTTTCTTCCTCCTCTATTTTTTATTTATTTGCATTTACTGGAGCTTTTTAAATATTTTTTCTAACATGTTGTTTTATGTATGTTAATTTTTGTTTCTTTTCTGATTCTCCTACAACTCTTTTTGTTTGTTATTTCCTTGACTGTCTGGTGGTAAGATGTTTACAGTTGTAAGTAGTGTTACACCTCTTATCGCCCTTGCCTGTATACCTCTATGCTACATCCTATGTCCCCTGTTCTCAAGTTACCCACTGTTATATGCAGCCTGCGTATAACAGCATATATATTCCTCTACAGTGTTAAGTACAGCTGTTAAATTAAAGACATAATGACCCAATTCAACACAGCATATCTACTTAATGTCACTTGTTGTTACTGATCATTAGAAAAAAATATTTTTACAATTAACACATGCATTGTAAAAACAGAATTCTAGACTGTTCAAGAGAAGTTCAGGAAAACCACTACTTACAAACTTCAATGAAACCTCTGCCATATTAATGTCAGTGTCAATACTATATTACTGACCTATAAAGC